GCTAACAATACAAAACAGTAGAAATAGTTTTTTATTAAATCACTATTCTAGGTCTATGCTTCTCTGTTTATACAAAGACATTTGTCCAACTGTCATATTTTCCTTTATCTACAAGGAGAGGGATAGAGATATATGAACTTATAAGGAAAAGCAACACAGAGATTCATATACATTCATTTATATACCTTAATTCGCCATAGTAATTTTCTGTTTTACAATGAGCCAATCAGAGTAGGTCTCGATAATTCCTATTTGTATATTTCACACCGTTAACCTTGAATTGATCATGGCTGTAATAATAGTCCAGGTGACCATGTGGATGGTGTCAAGCATGATGCTGGGGCTTTCCGAAATCCAACAAGAAATATGGTACATTAATAACTGTGAAATGAAGCACTCTGACCCTTCTTCATTACTGGTTAATGAATTGTCTGCGTGATAATTCCCCCAGTTACGATTAATCTTGCCCTTGATTATTTGTTGCCAGGACCCTAAATAACTCACTTTGGACTAATTTATGAACAACAGCCAAATAAGCTTATTGGATCAGAATAACAACTAGCATAGCGACTCTGACGGAAAGGTCGTAACAAGCTACCTGATATCCAGAGATCGTAGTGGCTGAACAAGCGCTGAGGATGTCGCTTTCCGAGGAATAACCTACCATTAGTTGCTGCGATCTCCAGACTCTATGCACTAAAAACATCAAGTTTTATCTCAAAACTAGATTTTTAATTTTATTTCTTTCCTTCCTTATTAAATAATCCGAAGCGAGACAGCGAATCTTCAATCTGAATTAACCAAGCCATGTTAAAATTTCCCATTCGACTATTCAAACGGTCCTCTACTCCGCGAGCCAACAGCCAGGAGGACAACAAATCCGAGCTATTATCGTCATTTGAGCAATTTCCAAAAATTTGTCGAACTGATGAGACTAAAGCGCGTTCTGATTCGGCGGAGCCAGGATCATATAATCGGCGATGTCATTCATTGATACAAGAAGCAAGTCCAAGGCTTACAAAATATGGAAAACTATTAGGATCCGTGGACGAAGGCGAAATAAAAGGAACGAAAAATGAAATCAAAGAAGTGAACGGGAGAGGCAAGAGTGAAATTAGTCTTGGCTCCAGGAAATTTGATATTAAAATTTCCGAAAGATATGAGGTCAATCAAATGCCGTTACCATATACAGTGCCAAGTGAGAAAATTACTGAAACTCCGTTGCTAGCTTCCTCCCACAGCAGATTACTTTTTCCAAGAAATAAGAAACTATGTGGGAATGAAGTAAAAAGAGAGCTTGATCAAGCTCCTGAGCCCTTAGAACATAGTAAGCAAGACCCATTAATCTCCGTGAGCCCAACTGTGCTGATTACCCGAGCAGATAGTCGAGAAATGGATTACGTGGATCCATTTCTTCATAAAGAACTTTTCCCAAAAAACCCAACTCACCCTTCGGAAAAAAACAGAGATTCGACAGAGGAAGGAAAGGATGAATTCAACTTGCGTAAGGAAGAAGAGGTAGAGGCACATATTAGCACAAAAGTTGAACCAGCAGAAGATAAAAGAGGCTGGCAGGCCAGGCATACATTTTGCAAATTGAAGACTCCTTTGCTTTCGGCTTCCAGAACTAGAGCATTTTCCACTCCTCTTCCTAGCTCTATATTTGATCAAATGAGCCACGGCCGCATGCTCATCGAGGACCTTGTTATCTGCCAAGACGCAAGGAA